TGTCGTTTTATCAATAATGCTGAGCAAAAATTAGCTCTAGTGGAACGTGCTCTTAAAATTCTGATGGATGCGATATCTAGTGTCAAACAGGAGGATACAGCGTTTTTAGACATAGTAAGAAACCATATTTCTGTTTTTTTTTCTGTCGTTTGGTGTTTTTTTCCTGAAGGATATGAGAGTATTAATTGAGCATTTATTAAACATACTTTTGTCTCCAGTTTTCTTCAAAGATTTTTTGTCGAGTTCCTTCGCTTAGCAGCCCTAGATCTTGTCATTTTTCAAACTAGAAAAAGAGAATATCTGCCTGAAAGAGAATTTATTTCAGATACTTTCCTGTTTGCTAGACGTCGGTTTACTTAATCTATTTGAGCGGATGGATGCAGCACTTGCTAGTGAGGAAACAATGACATGCTTGTCAGCTGTTACTATGATCCTTGACAAACTGGCTGGTAGTAAGGTACGTGAAGTTGCTAATGACCAGATGTTCCTTTAGTGCTACAAATTTTGTGGGAAAAGGGTGCTTCTTTAGTAGTCCTTTATTAGATTTTTCAATAACCTTATGTCATAGAAATGCTTGCATTTAGGTAAAAGAACTACATCGAATACTTGCATTCTCACCATCCAGTCATCCTCTGGTGTCTATCATTTCCCAGATTAACAATATGGAACAGACAGATGAGAGGACTAAAAATGTCCTACAAATTCTGGACAAGTTCTTTCAACAACTCAATGATGGATCAATTGACCCAAAAGGTGATTGTTTTTGAATGCCTCCACACGTTCATGTCTATCGTTTTAAAGGCCTCTTCGAGAGTCCCCGCGTACCGCAAATCTATGGAAGAGCGCTGTATGAACTTAACAAAATCTACAGTAAGCCTCTATTGTTGGCAGTGGATGGAATAGAAGAGGCACGTGAGAGGACGATAAAGGCATCAAGGTTTGATTGAATTGTGATTTGCCTGCTTCGAAATCATTTAACAAATCGTTTGAATTTATTGAAAGAAGTTCTTAGGATTTTGGTGCACCGGAAACACGCAGTAGGAACACGAATGGGTAGTGACGTGGCGAAAATTATTGAGGCTCACAGGGGGAAGGAGAAGACTGTGCGGGACATTATCAAAGCTCAGATGAAATATCTAGAGTATGTTGTTGCCTATAATTTGTTTGAAAAATATTTTTTACGTTCTAACTTACAATTTCAAGTGGAAAAGAACTTAAACACCACATTTTTTGAATATGTAGGCAGTTGGCTGCCTTTAAAAATTGCGTTTATGGCGAGCGATCATTGTTCAGATTTAATCAGATTTTAACCTTCTGATTTTTCTTCTGAACTAACCTTTAGCAACATTTTTTT